GGTCCCTTCCAACCCCAACCATTCTGTGAGATTAAAGTTAAACCTGTGATAGCTTTGATAAATCTCTGCTTTGGCCAACAGTATTGAATGCTGTGTTTCTCAAGATGTTGTTTATAAATTATCTGGCTTGATTGTCAGGATCAACTAGATCTTAAATGAAAATGCTTTAGAATTATCCTTTATTAATATGTTTGAAATGAAGCCCTAAATTATATTGACTCTCAAGTTCTTGCCCCTGTGTTGCTTCAAGACAAAGTAGGCACTGGATGGAACATTAGTTGGCTCGTCTTTTCACTATGTGGAAGAGGGATGGAGCAGATAAATTATGTCTACATCATTTCTTCCTATTTTTTTCCTCTTCCACAATGAATCACAAGTAGAATAAATGAAAAAAAAAAATCACTGTAACTAGTCTTTAGCATACGTATGTCAGTCTAGGCTTATGGTGGAGTTATGTTCAAGTAACAGCTGCTAATTTTATATTGCTGGCAGATTCATTTAGTACCACCTAATTAAGATTCTTTTATTTTTCATTTTCATTTCATGAAATTTAAGTTTCATATACTGCTGGTAAAAGCTCTCCACTCCCCTTTAGCCACTGATTTAGCCCAGTAGCCACATCCTAAGCAGCACTTTGTCACATACCTAGTAGAGCTTAATAAGGTTTTATTAAAGTATATTTTTAAAGACTATCTATTTCAAGCAATTCACCACTTTTTAAAATGAAATCAAGTATGTTTTCTGCAATCAAGCTTCTGTTATTTTTTGAAAAGGGCAAAGTTTATAGGTACATGTATAGAGAGAAGAGTTCTCAGATCCCTGTGAATTGCTGGTCCTGGACACAGGCAGAGAAACTGGAGCTGACTTTGTACAACACAAGCTTGTGTCTGACAGGGTTACTGGCTCGGGCACAGAGCCATGCAGACACTACCATATTGTCTGAGCGGCCAGGGCAGTTTAACTGCTTTGGTGTGGCGCTGTGCCTGTGCTAATAAGCTCTGCCTGTTTCTCCTCTACACTGTTAAAATCACCAGGTCAATCTGCACAGGTCGGCTCAGGTCCAGCTGGGTGTAGTCAGTGCTGTTCCTTTGAGATCTCAGCTGATTCCAAGTACAGTCCCATGGCTGATCCACTGCAGATCCTGGGAGAGTGTAGTGGTTTGGATGCCTCATTGTACGGGCACACAGAGCCAGCACTGGTTTAGTGCTGTATACCCACCAAGAAGTCCTGGAGCACTGGACTGTGCCACGCAGATCAACCCAGTTGGTGGCTTTATGCAGTGGCACTGTTTGTCTGGTGGTGTCAGTGGGAAGCCAGAGCTCATAAATCATCTTGGACCTGAGATTACAGTGTAAATAGCCTTTTGGGTGCATCTGTCCTGCATTCTGGAGTGGCCCCTGTAATATCTCTGTTGTCCTAGCTTTCTAGCTTGTCCCTTGTCCCAGAGAAAGAAGAGTGCTATGGAACATTTCTAATTAAGTTATGGACTTTTTTGTCAGTGCAAACAGCAAATGGAAGTTGTGGAAGTCATAATCTAATGAATATTTTTCATCAAGTATGTATTATTAACAAATCCTTTGACTTTTTTTAGCTAGCAGTGTCGTTAGGTATCTGTTGTGCTTCTGAAATGCTCTCTCTTCTCCAGTTAACACTGTCATATCCTTCCACTGGCTTCTCTTGCTTGCCTTAGAAATAAACTACTAGGTTTAACTTTTAGTGGCCAAGTCAAGTTTATTTTCATTCTAAAATTTAAAATTTTCAAGCAGTAGTTGCCATTTTTTTCTGCTGTGTGATATTTGAGGATCTGCCTTTGAATAAATGGGATCTACTTGTGAATAAATGGGATCTACTTCACTGTTTCCCTGCAGACTTTTCCTTTTCAATTACATCTTTGAAAAATTTTTGCTGATGTGTGACGATCATCCACCTCACTGTTTCCTTTTTCCTGTCTGCTCCCAACTATCGTTATCCTGTGCATGGAGGATATGATCTGTAGGAAAAAGATCACTTTTGGTTTAGGTTTGTATATTCTCTAGCAGAGTGCAGTCTTGGCACATAATTAGAACTTTGAGGCACTGTTATTTTTTCTAAAATTTTGGGATGAATAGTATTTCTCATTAAATAATGGCTATTTAGTCTTAAAATGAGAAAGAAAATAAGACTGTGCAGAAATGCTGGTTTTGCCTGAAGTTCGTTGTCTACTGAACTTATAATGGTGAGTTACATGTTTTATGCTACTTACAGAGCTAGTGCATGTCAGAGATGAATAATGACTATTTTATTTTTAGATTCGAAAGCAGCAGAAAGAGCATGCAGAACTAATTGAGGAATATCGAATCAAGCAGCAGCAGCAGCAGCAGTGTGGAATGGCACCCCATGCTATCATGTCTGGCGTCCAGGCTCAACCGCCAATGGTTCCAGGAGGAACATCACCAGCAATGAATCAACAAAACTTCCCCATGGTGGCCCAACAGCTCCAGCATCAGCAACACACAGTGGTAATCCCTGGGCAATCCAACCCAACCAGAATGCCAAATTTATCTGGATGGCAATCTGTAAATGCCCCTGCAAGTCATATTTCCATTAATCCAGCAAGGATGCAGCCTCCCATGACACCGTTGCCAATTACTCCTAGTACACCAGCTCCTGTGCCTGGTCCAAATGCAACTGCTCAGTCAGGGCCACCGCCAAGGGTGGAGTTTGAGGACAATAACCCTTTTAGTGAAAGCTTTCAAGAGCGGGAAAGAAAGGAGCGTTTACGAGAGCAACAGGAACGGCAACGCATCCAGCTTATGCAGGAGGTAGATCGCCAGAGGGCTTTACAGCAGAGAATGGAACTAGAGCAGCACAGTATGATGGGGTCTGAGCTAAATAACAGAACATCCTTATCTCAGATACCTTTCTTTAATTCTGATCTACCTTGTGATTTCATACAAACTCCGCGACCTCTTCAGCAGTCTCCACAGCATCAACAGCAACAGATGGGGCAAATTCTGCAACAAGGTTCTGTCACCTCACCTCCTGCCACAAATTTTATGCAAAGCGGTGAGCGAAGGCCGGTGGGACCTACAACTTTTGGACCTGATGCATCTGCTGTTCCAGGTGGAACCCCTAATTTCCATAATGTAAAACAAACTCATGGGAATCTCCCTGGGGCCACCTTTACGCAGAACCAAGTCAGGCCTCCCTTTGCTTCTGCTGTACCTTCATCTACAGTACTCAGTGGTGGTGCCCCGTGTGGTTCGGACACTAGCGTGCCCCAGGCAGCAAACTTCCCGGGCTCGAGCCAGTCTCTCATACAGCTCTATTCTGACATAATCCCAGAAGAGAAAGGAAAAAAGAAAAGGACACGAAAAAAGAAAAAGGACGATGATGCCGAGTCAATAAAAGCCCCGTCAACTCCACATTCAGATATAACTGCGCCATCAACTCCAACCATTTCTGATTCTACCTCCACCCCTACAGTTAACACCCCCAATGAACTTTCACGTCATCAAGATGAACAAGAGTCACTGGAGTTAACGGGCCCATCAACATCAAATGAGGGAGAGAGCCAGACCTCTCCAGAGCTGGAATGTAAGCTCCCGAACAGCAGTCTGCCACAGAAACCGCCGAGTGTAAATACAGAGACTGACAAGGCTAAAACAGATGCTCCTACCAGCATTCAAGAAGTTAAACTAGAAAAGGCAGAAACTGATCAGTGCTCGGGTCAAGCTGAGCCTAAACCAGAAAATCCAAGCAGTATTAAGGTGGAAGAAGAGAAGGTCACATCGCAGCCTGCCTCTTCAGCTCAGAGTCCAGCACAACCCGCTAGCGTCCCAGCAACGAAAGGCGAGTCAGGGAACGAATTGCTGAAACATCTGCTCAAAAATAAGAAGTCCTCATCTCTTCTAAATCAGAAATCGGAGAACAGTGGCCGAACAGAAGAGGAGGCTTCTGGGGATAAGAAGTTACCAGAGAAGCAGAATCCAGCTGAAGGAATGGTGAGCCTGTTACTGGTTTTGTTACACAGAGTTCTTCAGTGGTCAAAGGCCAGTCTGTGCCTTTACTGCAGGCATTTGTGAAAAGGTGTGGAGATAGCCTCCCTGCACAAGGGTGGGATAAACAGCAGTAAGGACTTTCTACCTCCCTTCCTGCCTTTTCTCCATGATGAAATAATCTGTGTTACAGAAAGAACAAGTTTTAATATGACTTCATATGTCAGTGTATTCAGAAATTTATTAAAATGCAAAAAATAGTTTTGTTATAGTTAATAATCTTAAAAAATGCCACTTCCTGATATTTACCAAGATTTTACAGAATGACTCTTAATTACCACTAGTATGTTTCCATAGTGTGTACAATATGTCTGTATCCTGCCTTCTGTGACCCCACCTCAGTCATGTGCAGGATGACCTGGGCATCTTTGCAGAGGCAGAGGGCTGAGCTTCACACCCCTTCAGCTGCACCCTTTGGAGTGAATGCACCAAGTCCATGATTGGTTTTTGCCTGTGAAAATCATGTATTGTCTCTAATTTTAGCAGAGACTGTGCTCTAGGATTTTTATCAAAAGTGTGAAATTGTTAAATCTCCTAAAACTGCTGGATTTCTGTGTTACAGAATATTTCTCTAATTAATTTTACTTTAATGGAAGGGACCATTAATTCTTGATGTTAATAGCATTATAATATTTAATAATTTATAAGGTTCTTAAAAACAGACCTAGAGAAAATTGCTTTCTGTGGACGTAGGATACACTTTACACTTAGATTTGTCAGTCGTTTCATTGTAATCTTTAATCTCTGCTCAGTTTTGTTTTATGACTTCCTAAACTCTAAATACATCCTTGAAACAAAATTCAAACAAACACATTCAAAATGAATAAAGACTGATAAAAATGAAGGTAATTGTGAGCAGCAGGTAACTTATGTAAGTGTTAAAGATCCATGGTTAAAACATCTATGACAGGAATAGAGGTGAGAGTACTTGGCAGCAGAGGTCCTGTAGAGCCGTTTAATAACAGATAAAAAGAAACTGGGCTTTCTTTTGGTTGCCAAGATCCATTGTGTTACCAGTCCCATTCTGATTGCTTTTACACAACTGTCCTTTTATGTTAAAATGGTTTTGCAAATTTGTACTGAAAGTATTTAAGCAAAGGGTACAATCCAGAAGTGTTTCACAATATTGTTTTTGTTTCTAAACTCAAAATACATTTATGTTATATTAACTTAGATGTCATTTTACTGTAAGCAAGTCTGCCTTTCATTATGCCCTCGTGAAAATCTTCCAAGATTGCATGCACATGTAACTTTATTTTAGGGGCTATTCAAAAGCAAATGTTTCTGGTCTGTGAGTTTTTAATTACATTTTCAGAGGTCAGTGGTGTTAACAATAAGTCATAATTCTGTTTGTAAGGACGATGCAGCAGTTACAGTTGCCAGTGAGATAGGAAAGTAAACAAACCATAAAATACACTTTGTTATCAATGAGATTTATTACACTGTGCTTGTTCTTTTAGACTATCGTGCAGTAAATTTGAATGAACTGTATATTAAAATGTCAAAAATTCTGCTTCACTTCATTTTTTTCATACCAGCAGACTGCAGGAAACCAGGTGCCAGGTGCATTTGGGTGTAGTAACAGCCAGCTTCAGAGAACAGATGTAGGACCTGAAACCAAGAAACAGAGAAATAAGCGAACTCAGAGGACAGGAGAGAAGGCAGCTCCTCGGTCCAAGAAAAGAAAAAAAGAGGAAGAAGAAAAGCAAGCTATTTACCCTAATGCTGATACATTCATCCAGTTAAAACAGGTAGGTATGCAGATACTGCACTTCTCATGGTGGAAATTAAGCTGATTATTAAGTTGAATTTTGAGTACAATGTGGAGAAAATGAAAACTTCCACAAGACTAGGAAATTTAAAGTTTTTGTTTTATTTCAATTTGGAAGATCTACTGACATGGCAGGCATTTGGTAGTCTCAAAGCCATGGAACTCCTGTCAGCTCTGGCTGAACTGGCAGGAAGCTGGAGCTGCAGCTCTGATGGACAAGGGACCACCTTCCTTAACAAACAGGGAGGCCTGGGTTTGATACAGTTTTCTGATAGTGGGTAAATTCAGATTATATTTTTTAATTTAGAAGCCACTCTACTGATGTTTGGAGATTTGCAATGCTTCTGTTTTATGCTTAAATTAATTTCTAACTTTTTTTTTTCTTTTAATATAGCAGCTTTCTCTTCTGCCTTTGATGGAACCAATAATTGGAGTGAGCTTTGCACACTTTCTTCCCTATGGCAGTGGGCAGCTAAATGGTGGAAATCGACTTGTAGGAAGTTTTGGTAGTGCTACTCTCGATGGGGCTTCAGATTACTACTCCCAGCTCATTTACAAGGTATGGTTTTAATCTGAATTTCCATTGTGTGCTCTCTGTGGGAAAAGAAGTTCATGCCATTATTACTACTAGTTGGTTAGAGTTTCTGCCTTTTATGCAACCAAAACAAAAATAATTTTCTGCTGCTAGACTAGATAGACAGTGCAGTGGTGAAACATTCATCATTGTTTTACTCTCTGAAAGTGGAAATCAATTCTGGAAACTGTGTTGTAAACTAATTAAAAATTACAAGTATTCCTTTTACAAATGGATGCTAAATAGTGAAAATTGTAATTACGGTTTTATGGAGCAGAAAAGGCTGAATTCTCAGTACTTTGCAATGTCATTGAAAGCATTAAAGCATTTCTTAATGTGAATTAAATGGGAAATAGACTTTCCTCATTTGTCCACTAAGCCCTAACTAAGAACCTGAGAACTCTGAACAAGATAGACTGTTTGTTGACGAGTTAATAACACACAGAATTTAAAACTCGGTCTCTGAGATCGGATTGGCAATACTGGGAGAGCAGCAAGATAGCAAACAGACAGAATCAAATTATTTTCTGCTTGGCTACCCTAATATTAAAATTTTAGTAGCTTATTAAAAACTAGTGTTGTTTACTCCAGCCTTCCATGGCATGCTGAGGATATGACCCAGCAGAAATAGTTGCTGTGGTCAAAAGTGAATAATAAGTATTAACTTTGTAGGCACAACCGCAACAAGAACAGATGCTGAAGTTCTCATTTAAGTTTCATTTAAAATATGAGCAGTTAAGTAAGCTAGTGAGGAGTAGCCTGGAGTGTGAACTTGCAGAGTATCTGCTTCTCCATGATAACTGCTTCAGTGCATCCTGTGCTAGTTGTGAGGTAGCTTCCCTTTTAGTGAAAAAGGGGTAAGATGCCTCATTTATGGTGAGAGTCACTATGGAGTAGCTCTCTCAATCACAAGTTCAGACCTTGCTTGAACTGTAGGAACTTGTTGGTGCTCCCAAACCATTCCTAAAAATGTTCTTTGTGCTTTTCTGTTAATAACTTGGCTATATCTTCTTTCAGTAAACTGTGCCCCTCATATAAATTATTTCTCTGATAATATCATTGATATAAGAAAAGCAAAGTGTTTTATCTTTTATAGAAGATACTTTTATGTAATTGGTCATGTACTTGAGACTTCGAACTATCGCTGCTTATCAGTGCTACCTCTGGGTGTGAAAAATGTGAGTGGGTTACATTATCTAGTACTAGAACAAAGCAAGTTCTCACCCCGTGTTCCATGGCTGATTTACAGTTCTTTAATCTCGTGCAGCAAAACAATCTGAGCAATCCTCCGACCCCCCCAGCCTCTCTTCCCCCCACACCACCTCCAGTGGCGTGCCAGAAGTTGGTAAACGGCTTTGCGACCACTGAGGAACTTGCTGGCAAGGCTGGTATGTTAGGAGGTCATGATGGTAAGACTAATACATATTGTTTCTGTAATGAGTAAAGCTTGTAGCAAATTACAAAATCGATAGTTGGGATGTTTTTCAGCTGCTATAATGTTCTTTTATAAAACCAGTGTGCCTGGACTCTTTTAAGGTTGTAATCATTATTATCCAGCTTTATTTTACACCAGTGTAATGTGCAATGATAGACTTTTCCCTATGCCTTTCAAAAACATGTTCAGAGCTAGAAACAGTCTTTGCAAATGAAAAAGCAAACTTTAAAATCAGTTTTTGATGTCCAGTACAAATGACTAAGCAGTTAGTCGGGTGAGTTCAAAAGCAGTCTCCCCAAAATGTACCCTCATCAGGCTTTGTATGTAGTCAATAGATATTTTCTGATGCTTGTAATTTGGTCAATTAAAATTTCTGTCTAATGAATGAAACTTTATACTGCTTTTACATAAGCTCTGTTCAATGATTAAAATCCTCTTTTTCCAACCCCTTTTCCTTTTTTTGTTACAAAGTTGTTGATTTTATTTTTTTTTAAGTAAACCAGAAATACTCTCATGCTGGCAGAAGGCATGCTCAGAAGCCTTTTGAGCCCTTTTTGCTCAGAAATTGGCAGATTTCTGTAAATCTGGAGATTAATCACGAACAGTCAAAAATTTTTGAACTACAAGTGGATGAGAGTGGTGTTACCATCTGCTGTAATGCCTTGGTTGTATCAGGGAGCCACCAATACCCCAGTTCACAGAATGTATATCAATGGAAGAGCTGTACAGGTGTCTCACTGTGCTGTATGTTTCTGGTTTTAGTTACCAAAGCTCTGGGACCAAAGCAGTTCCAGTTGCCTTTCAGACCACAAGATGATTTATTAGCAAGAGCAATGGCTCAGGGCCCTAAAACTGTGGATGTTCCTGCTTCACTTCCAACACCACCTCACAACAATCAGGAGGAGTTAAGGTAGGTTTTCCTTCACATCTTCAAATATGTATTTGGAGCAGATTCTGGGATCTTTCAGGAGGAGATGAGACTGTGAAGCAACAAAATCCATTGTGCACAGTGGCACAGTGCAGAGAACATAACGGGATGGCTTTGTCCTAGTTAACTCCTAGCATTCCACATGTAGAGAGTAGCATAGTGAAATAGGTGATTTCTGTCACTGCTGGGCTCTAGATCCTGTTAGATTGTTAAGAATTCGTTACCTTGCTCTCTTAAAAGTGGAGGAAAACTATATAAATAGAGAGATATTTTTTTCCTGGAGCAACATGGTGCTGTTGTACCATGACAGTACATGACTGCTGTACCAGACAGTGTCAGACAGCCTGGAAACTCCTCAGCTCTACTCAGTTTCTATTACCGTGTGAGAAATGCTTGCTAGAACATAACTCTCCCTACAAAGATCTTCCCTTTTGCCTCCCTTTCAGTTGTCCAACCAAAAGTAGGGTGGCTTTGAAGCACTCAAGCCTGTGCTTGGATGGTGGGACATGGACCAGTGAATACACTTAAACCAGGAAGTTTAAGTAGTAAATACTAATTTTTTACACAGGTAGATGGAGCCATGGGGAACAGATGGTTCTATGATGGAGCCTGGGCTTTCTTAGTGCCTCTATTTTTCTTTATCTTTCCCAAGAAACCATTGTGTCCAGTGGAGTATGAGATAGGCAGAAGTAATGGCCTGCCACGTAATTGTGTTCCACAACCAGTAGCAAGAAGCTACCTGTGATAGCTGCCTGTCGTGGTTTAGAACTTTGGCTTACCAATGGTTTTTAGACTGCTTCTAAAAGGTTTCCAAAACAGCACTTTTGGGTTTTGTTCCAGGGTTCAAGATCACTGTGAGGACAGGGACACTCCTGACAGCTTTGTTCCTTCTTCCTCTCCTGAAAGCGTGGTGGGAATGGAAATTAGTAGGTATCCAGACTTGTCGGTTGTAAAGGAGGAGAACCCAGAACCTGTACCATCTCCCATCATTCCCATCCTACCAAGCAGCACTGGAAAAGGTGAGACTGCAGCAAAGCAAACAATTAGAACTGGCCTCCTTTCTAATTATTTATTTATTTATGTGCATGGAGGATTGACCTGGTGTATTTTGTTTTATTTTCAGGTTCAGAAGCCAAAAGGAATTACATAAAATCAGAACCCAGTTCTGGAGCCTTACCTGGTTCTGGCTTCTTTGCCTCTCCGCTTGGACCATCCCAGAATGGTCCTAAATCTGGCCTTATATCCGTAGCAATTACTTTACATCCCACAGCTGCTGAGGTAAAAGAAATGAGTTTGTGTTACATATATGACATACAACAGCAGTTTATTTTATATAGATAGGTAAATCTGAAGGGGTTATAGCATAGTACAATAAAAGCAACTGTTGTAATCTTCTAATGAATTTTAATTGCTGCTGTCTTACTGCCTGGCTGATGAAAACAAAAGTATGGTTTTATTCTTGTTTTTAGAACATTAGTAGTGTTGTAGCAGCATTCTCCAACCTGCTCCATGTCAGAATTCCCAACAGCTACGAGGTTAGTAACGCTCCAGACATCCCATCCTCCATGGCAACAGCCAACAGTCACAGAGTGAACCCATCTATGGAATACAGGCAGCACTTACTACTTCAGGGTCCTCAGGCAGGATCCATGGGACCTGCCAGGATCGTAGGGTCTTATGGACTGAAGCAACCTAATGTGCCATTCCCTGCAAACAGCAATGGTGAGTGGGCATCCATTCTCTTGAGTTTTCAGTACCAAAATTTTAACTGAGTCAGTATTAATGCACTTCAGCCTCATAAATTCATGCTCTCGAATTAAAGAATTGATTCTTGTTCCAAATAGTACTTCTCTCTTCTTATGTGATCAGTACATGTGGACTTGCTCCTGATGTTAACTATAACTTAATAGAATCATAGAATCGCCTGGTTGGAAAAGACCTTTGAGATCATCAAGTCCAAATGCACCTGTCCACTACTAAACCGTATCTCGAGCACCTTGGCTACATGACTCTTAAATACCTCCAGGGATGGTGACTCAACCACTTCCCTGGGCAGCCCATTCCAGTGCCTGACACCCTTTCAGTGAAGAAATTTTCCCTGACATCCAATCTGAACCTCCCTTGGCACAACTTGAGGCCATTTCCTCTTGTTCTATCACTCATTACCTGGGAGAAAAGACACCAGATCCATCTCTGATTTCCATTGTGTTATCTGTGTCACTGTCAGTAAGGTGTTTCTTCTAGTAGTTCCCAACATTACTGGGGTTTTTTTGTTCTGTCTGATTTTAAATCCATCATTCAGAAAGATTGTTCCTATGCTGGAAAACTTGACGTTGTTGTTTAAGCCTGTGTTCCTGTGTTGGTTTAGTTACTCATTTCTTATACAAGAATGTATTTTGCCTTGTTGTTCACACAGTTGGTTTTGGTCTAGTTTAAACAATTTTCCCATCAGAACATAGTTTAAAGCTTGCCTTCCATTCCTTGTCCAGGAGGATGCTGCTCCTGTAGACCACTGAAGAGTACTGTGACTTCTCATAAATTGGGTTTAATCTGATACAGCTTCTAACAGACACCTGTTTTCCAGGTATAGCTGGCTATAAGGATCACAGCCAGAGTATTGCAGAAGGCTCAGCATTGAGACCTCGATGGTGCTCTCACTGCAAAGTTGTGGTTCTTGGCAGTGGTGTGCGGAAGTCCTTCAAAGACCTGCCTTTCCTTAAACAGGTACTGCAGTGGAAGTGTGGTTTCTTGCAGGTGATGGTCAAGGAGCAAAGGAAGGCAACAGCGACTGCCGCTTGTCATGCCCAACTGATGCCACTTCCAAGTTTCTTTGTAGTCTCCCTTCTACGTGTCCTGTTTCAGGATGGGACATTCACAAGCTCATTTGTAGTACAAATAAGAAAGATCAAAGTTGTTACTTAAAAAAAATGGATTTCATAAAATATGTCTCATATAAGGCAGCTTCCTAAATTCTGCTACTGACCTCCTTCCGTGACCACTTCAGGGACCTTCATTCCAAAAGAGCTTCTTTATAAGGCAGCACCATATTGCTGTGTCAGGAAGTGCTGGAAGAGCAGGAACACTTGTGCTCTTTTTGAGCAGCAATCAGATTGCTGTCTTGGTCTCTTGTATTTCCATTGGGAACTGTCATCCATTGCTCTTTCAATGAGATTGAGGTAATTATGTAACAAAGGTATAGAGTCAAAATGTATGTACAAAAGGAAGGGGTTCATGCTGTCAGAAAAGCACTGAATTCCCAGGAACGTTTTGCAGATGGGTCAGTAGATAAAACCAGTGTGATCTGTCTTTGATTAGGCTGAAATGAGACATTCTCCTGCCATCCAAAGATGAAAGGAAATGGATTTTACTTTGCGAATGTGCCTATGGAGCAGATGGGTGCATGCTACAGAATGCTTTATTTTGGTTGTTAAACTTCTGCTGAAGGCAAGAAATGCTGAAGGACAAGGTTGTAGGTGGTGGGTTACGTTAGATCTGTCAAATAATAAAGTATTTATATTACGGTATCACTCATTATTTCACAAATGTTCTACAAATAAAGAGTTTCTAGCCAGATTACACTTATTATGTGAAAAATGGTATTAATATGCACTTCTGATAATCTTCTGTGTTTGATTCCCAGGATTCCCAAGAAGGCTCTGATAAAATGAAGGACATTGTATTCTGTAGCAACAACTGCTTTGTTCTTTATTCGGCAGCTGTGCAAGCAAAAAACTCAGAGAACAAAGTAAGTATCAAATGCTGGTAGACCCAAGTGAGCCGAAATTATTGCAGCTATTTTCTGAAGAACAGAGAGGGGGTGAGGGGGAAGTTTGCACTTCATTTCAGAGGCTCAGAAATTAATTGCTCTATATTCAGACACTGACATTCTGAACCAGCAGCGTGAAGTAAAATTTGTATTTGCAGAACTTCCTGTCTGACAGAGATACACGGCAGAACAGTAGCCGCCTTCTGCTGTCCTCACAGGCTTTGAAGATGCAGTCTCAAAAAAGTAATCCTTTAAGTTCTCTGAGCATTGTACAAAGCCACAGATACATCTTTATGGGCTATATTCTGCATTTTGGTTCAGCTTATACAGTTAAAAATTGTTACAACCGTGCAAATAATAACTGAACAGCAAGTTTGCAGAAAGACTTTTATTTGTTCAATGTAACTGGAAAAATAGAATCCTATTCTGTTACTTTTTTTGGGCAAAGCTGACATTTTAAAGTATTAATTACCAAAACTACTGGGGGTTGGAACTAGATGATCTTTAAGGTCCCTTCCAACCCCAACCATTCTATGATTCTATGATAAAACACTGGTGAAGAACCTGCTAACTGACAGTGATGGGGAAAAAGAGGTTCTGATTGCTGGAGAGAGACCTTATAAGAAATTTGTTCAACTGAAGTGGAATTAGGCCAGGGTGTGCTGCACTTCTGTACCTACAGAGACTGCAGGGGGTGTGCAACACCTCCCAGAAACTCAGCCCTTCCACACAGGATGTTATTTCTTTCTCTGTCCAGGTTCATCCAGTTGCAAAGAAAGGTAACTTAAACTTACCTCTGTTTAATCCTTAAAAGTGGAATAGTCTTCATTCAAGACTAAGTGATCCTGCTAAGGTTTTTTTTTTCTCATGGATAACATTTTTTGTGTACTTCTTTTAACTAGCTTGGTTTCTGCTTTTCCTAGTTCAAATGTTTTTCCCCTAAACCAGTGGACAGAACTGGCCGTGTCCTTCAAGCATCACCTAATTAATGCTTTCTCATAGACCTGTCTTTGCTGTAGAACTTGCAGCCTTCCTTCAAATGCATCCTCCTTGTTTTTTAGAAGAGATAAAAAAACCCCCAAAACCTGAAGGAGAAGATAAGTGTGTGCACATTCACATCCTTTTAGTGTCCCGTGTAGCTCATTTTCACTTGTATTTAAAGAGTAACATTTCTGCAGAAGTGCATCCGCATGTACATAATTAAGTTAATTAAATGTCATGTTCATCCTCTTGATCCTTTCATTTACTCTTTCGAGTTCAATCATACAAACCACATTAAGCACTTTTTAATTTAATCTTCCTTCATTGTTCTTGTTTTCTCTCCCTTTTTTTTTTTAACAAATCTCTGCAGGTATAATTCTTGTTTACTGTGACTGAACAGTTAAGTCCTCACAGTGTATCTAATGTAGAACCCTGCAGGAATTTTCTCCTCACTTGTTTCCAGGAAAAATACGTGGCATTAACTCCAAATATTCTCCTCCTACCAAATAACAGGATTCTTATTCTTTAAATTAATTCTGCGACCCATATTTTAAGATTATTTTGTGTTGTAACAAAACTTTCTAAAAATACCCAAGAACTATATTTGTCAGTTACCTGGTTCAGGGCACTTGAGTAGTTTTTAGTTCAAAACCTGGAGAAAGGATTATTTGTGTTTCTTCACAGAACAGCAGAATCACAGAGTTTTAGTGGTTGGAAAAGATCTTTTAAGATCACTGAGTCCAGCCATAAACCCAACACTACCAATTCCTCCTCTAAACCATGTCCCTGAGCACCTCATCTACCTGTCTTTTAAATACCACCAGGGAAGGCGACTCCACCACCTCCCTGGGCAGCCTGTTCCAATAAAATGAAGGACATTCTTCTTCTGTATTAAAGGGCACCACTTTCTAAGTTGATGGGGAGACCTTTTGTGCTCTGTGTCCTGGCACAAGCTGTAAGAACACGGGTCAGGCTAATTCCCATCTTTCTCTGTTGCTGCATCATGATTTCTGAGTAGCCTCTTCAGTTCTGACCTGACAATGTTTTGTTTTGTTTACTTAAAGAGATGTTTAGTGGTTAACAGTTTGGGATTTTTTTTTCTTAACGAGTTTTCTATTGATTTATCAGGAATCAGTTCCATCTTTGCCACAGTCGCCGATGAAGGAGAGGCCGCCTAAAGCATTCCATCAGTACAGCAACAACATCTCCACTTTGGACGTCCACTGTCTGCCTCAGTTGCAGGAAAAAGTTTCTCCACCATCATCACCCCCCATCATGTTCCCTCCTGCATTTGAAGCAGCCAAGGTAGAGGCAAAACCGGATGAGCTTAAGGTAACAGTGAAACTAAAACCTCGGTTAAAAGCAATACACAGTAGCCTTGAGGACTGCCGGCCTCCGAGTAAGAAATGGAAAGGAATGAAATGGAAAAAGTGGAGCATTCAGATTGTGATTCCTAAAGGATCATTCAAACCTCCTTGTGAAGAAGAAATAGATGAATTTCTTAAAAAACTGGGCACAACCCTTAAACCAGATCCTGTGCCTAAAGACTATAGGAAATGTTGCTTCTGTCACGAGGAAGGTGATGGATTAACTGATGGACCAGCGAGGCTTCTTAACCTGGATTTAGACCTTTGGGTCCATTTGAACTGTGCTCTTTGGTCTACAGAAGTCTACGAGACACAAGCTGGTGCCTTAATAAACGTGGAACTAGCACTGCGAAGAGGCTTGCAAATGAAATGCATGTTTTGTCACAAAATGGGCGCCACCAGCGGTTGTCACAGGTTAAGGTGCACCAATATTTATCACTTTACCTGTGCCATTAAAGCACAATGCATGTTTTTTAAAGACAAGACCATGCTTTGCCCCATGCACAAACCAAAGGGAACTCATGAGCAAGAACTTAGTTACTTTGCAGTCTTCAGGAGGGTCTACGTTCAGCGCGATGAAGTGCGGCAGATCGCCAGCATCGTTCAGCGAGGAGAACGTGACCACACTTTCCGTGTGGGAAGCCTGATTTTCCATGCTGTCGGTCAGCTGCTGCCACAGCAGATGCAGGCCTTCCACTCCTCAAAAGCACTCTTCCCTGTGGGATACGAGGCCAGCCGGTTGTACTGGAGCATGAGATACGCAAACAGACGCTGTCGCTATCTCTGCTCAATTGAGGAGAAGGACGGGCTTCCGTTATTTGTCATCAAGGTTGTGGAGCAAGGACACGAAGATCTGGTCCTTACTGACACAACACCAAAAGGTAAATTTTGTGAACTAAGATCATGAGGTTTGTGGGTTTGTGATTTGTTTTGTTACTACTGATACCTGTGGTATGAGAAATGTTACAAGCAAATGTTGCAGACACTGTTCTAATGTAATGCTTCTAGTGAGCTTCAGGCTATGAAGACTGAGGACACCTTTGAAGAAATGGTATAAGCTGCAAATCATAGAACCACAGAACCATAGAATGGTTTGGGTTGGAAGGGACCTTAAAGATCATCCAGTTCCAACCCCCCTGCCATCAGCAGGGACACCTTCCACTAGATCAGGTTGCTCAAAGCCTCATCCAGCCTGGCCTTAAACACTTCCAGGGAGGAGCAGCCACAGCTTCTCTGGGCAACCTGGGCCAGTGTCTGACCACCCTCACAGTCAAGAATTTCTTACTAATATCTCATCCTAATCTCCCCTTTTCCAGTTTAGAGCCATCACCCCTTGTTCTGTCACTACCTGCACTTGTCAAAAGTCCCTCCCCAGCTTTCCTGGAGCCCCTTCAGGTACTGGGAGGCCGCTAGAAGGTCTCCCCGGAGCCTTCTCTTCTCCACGCTGAGCAGCCCCAACTGTTCAGGTTGTAACAAGACGACTTGTTACAAGTTCACAGAGGAGACCCAAGATTGCGTACTGTGTAGGTGCCAGTGTAGGTTTCCTTTCATGAAAAGTGACTTTGTTTAAATACAGAATCATTCCTCAGTTATCTTCAGCTCAGCTGTGCTGGAGTTGGCAAGTGATAAAAAGACAGTTGAGTTGACCACGTTGTTCTCAGGGCAGGTAACGTGTCCCTGGCAGGGTGAGGAACGATAAACGCATGGGGCAGGTGTTGGGAACCTGGCACATGAATGTGGACGTGACCTGTCGTGCTCTGGGGCTGAACCCCTTGGTGCTGCGGGTGCTGATGCGCTCAGCAGCTGCCCACCCAGCTGAGAGCTGACTGTGCTGTCGATGGAAATAGAATATCGAGTTTATTTTTTAAAAATTCTACTTCGTGCAGCTTTTCTCAGGAGAATCTGTGTACGTTGTTTGTTGTTGTTGTTGTTGTTGTTGTCAGAGGACTGAACGTTTCCAGGCTGCAAACACTAAAGTTTCATTCCCGAGAATCAAGGGTGCAGCAGAAATGTCGGGCTTGGTGGGGGTTTGTACAGGAGAAAATGGCAACTCACCAAATGATTGTCCACTGTTTAACCACCGGCCTGTTTGTGTAGGCAGCCAACAGCCAGATGCTCTTTCAGTGTTGTTTTCTGGTTCCCGATATCCTCAGGCATTCGTTTAAAACCAGTACAATAGCTTTATTTTTTTTGATCACTGTAATTCTCTTCCATATGGCTGTGTAGGTGTGTGGGATAAAATCTTGGAGTCCGTTGCTTCTGTTAGAAAAGAATCTGAAATGCTCCAGCTGTTTCCCGGCTATTTGAAGGGTGAAGACCTCTTTGGTTTGACAGTCTCTGCAGTGGCCAGGATTGCCGAATCGGTGAGTCTTGGCCATCCCAGGTCTTGCTGGATCACCCCAAATTGTCGGATATCTCATATACACATGAGAAGGGGAACAGGAAGCGGTGTGGAAAAGTAAATGTTTCGTTGCAAACAATCACCATAGACTTACTTGGATTTTATTCTTTTTTTCTCTTTTTCTCTGTTTTTTTGCAGCTGCCAGGGGTTGAGGCCTGTGAGAACTACACTTTCCGCTACGGCCGAAACCCCTTAATGGAACTCCCTCTTGCTATCAACCCCACGGGCTGTGCCCGTGCCGAGCCTAAAATGAGTACCCATGTCAAGAGGTTTGTGTTAAGGTATTTTGTTTTAATTTCACATAGTACAGCCCAGGGTTTATAGGCTGCTTAGGGTTATTTGTGCTTTCGTCTGCTGCTTACAAACCCTGTCGTCCTTGGCTGTGTACGTGCATGCCCCAACCACAGGAATCGCTTTGTTGTCTACGCTAGCTGGCTTTCAGTGTCTGTGCGTCTCAAAAGAATTTTTAATGGGTTTTGTGGCTGTTTTCAGAGAAATCTTCAGTTTTTCTTTGTGTTCTTTCCCGTTATATGCCCAATTCCTACAGGCCTCACACCTTGAATAGCACCAGCACATCGAAGTCATTTCAGAGCACAGTCACGGGAGAACTGAACGCGCCTTACAGTAAACAGTTCGTCCATTCCAAGTCCTCTCAGTACCGCAAAATGAAAACTGAATGGAAGTCCAATGTCTATCTAGCTCGCTCTCGCATTCAGGTCAGTGCTCATTTTAGGGAATGTTTATTTTAAAAAGTTGCTTAGACTTTATTTTATGTATAAATCTTATATTTTTATATATTTTACAGATAAATTTTATATTTTTATACATTTATATATAAATATCTAGATAAAATTTACTTTTAAAAATGGAAACTAAAACTATTGCAAAATTCCTTCAAGTCTAATCCCCAAATTGGCAATTTTTATGAGGCAAATCACTTCCATAGATTTATCTTAAGATTTCTTTCTAATTACTGGAAACATCTTAAAAATTCATTTGTTACAGTCATCTAGGAAAAAAGTTTCTTGGAGTTTTTTGTGGGGTTTTTTTTTTTTTTTTAGCATATTTCTCAAAAACTTAGTAAAACTTAATTAAAATATGAATAGACAGTGGAAGCACAACACAATCAGACCAAGCTGAGTAAAGTGGTAGGAGACCAGCATGGAGAATTGCATTCATGTAGTAACTTTGGTTCTGTCTGTAATTCTGTTGGTGGTTTTGCTCCACAGACTATTTTGCAAAAGCTTTGTAATTAACCTCGCTGCGTGTGAACGCAGTTGTTGTTTATTTTAGGTTGGACTTAACCGTGCTGTTGTGTTCCTCTTAGGCTTCTCCATTTTTAGTAAGGCCAACTTTATTTTCCAGTGAATTTATAATCTTTACACATCAGGTGCCAGAGGTGTGAGAGAAACTTTCTTACCTAGACAGAAGCCAAGTACATTTTCTTGCATCTTAAAAATTTCACGTGAAGCCGAGTTGTGCATCTGGGCTGTTACACCATCGGTGCCTGACCTGTGCCGCTTGATTCTTTCTGGGTAGTTTCCCTTCACGTGATTTTCTGCGCGGTGAGGAATTCAGTGGAAATGTAAATTTATCACAGAATTCTAAATTGCAGTGTTATTTTTTGTAGGGCCTGGGCTTGTACGCTGCTAGAGACATTGAAAAGCACACTATGGTCATTGAATATATCGGAACTATTATCCGCAACGAGGTAGCAAACAGGAAGGAGAAGCTTTATGAATCTCAGGTATGGGGCACGTTTGTTCACTGGTTCTTTCCCCTTCAGATGTCGTTGTTCTGTTTGATGAATGCAGGTCCCCTGATTTCTGTTTTCTACGGTGCTGTAAATGCAATAGATTAAAAATATAAACCAGAGGAGTCTGCAGTGTTTCTTACCAAAGGATCGGGGTATTTAAATGTTTAATCAAGTCTCCCAGCACCCTGGCCAGGTCGGTAATACAGATCCTCTGTCCCAGAGGACACAAGAGTGAGCTGACAGCGATGTCAGGACCTCAGTTTTTAACGAGAACTTTAAATTTAAAGCACTTATTTCCTTTGTGTAACCCGGTGGTTCTGTACCAGTTAGTACATGTTGGTGGAACACTTTGAGATCCTAGAGGAAAGGCAGCACAGAACCTATTGAGGAGATACTAATTCACCAGAGATCGATGTCTGTGACCCGTCCGTGCCCTCCCAAAGCAGGGAGGGTGAAGGCAGCAGGTGACTCACACTCTCCCTCGTGAGCCTGCCTGCCGGAGGACACCGGGAGGTCGCCCCACGTTGCTGTTTTGGTTTAATCACTGGCAATTCTGTAAAATCTACAAGAGTCTTTTTCCCAATCCTGTTTTTCAGAATCGCGGCGTGTACATGTTCCGCATTGACAACGACCACGTCATCGACGCCACCCTGACGGGAGGTCCAGCAAGGTGGGTGGCCCTGGGGAGGTCTCTGACCTCGGTCGGGGGACTGATCCACGCTCCCCGGCCTGGGGCTGTTTGTGGGGGACTCAAGTTTGTGGTGTTCTCAATGGTTTTTATTCTCTGAGCTGGTACATTCAGTCTCCAGACTATTCCACTGAAATAATGTCTTTTTTTTTCCATTAGCTTTGCTCATCGTTGTTTATGTTTCACAGCAGCTATGAAGAAAGAAAGGAATTCTTTTTTTAACACTTGATATTTTTTTTTTGGCATTTTCTAGGTAAAGAAACAAGTAGAAAGTACTATAGTTATACCTGGCAAGTCAGTGCTCCCCTGAAGCGAAGGGCATTCTGAGGTTTGGTTTGGATTTGCCGCAGGGGATGCATTTTCCTAAAAGGTTTCCTTTGTCAAACTGTGTTTTCGTAGGTACATCAACCACTCGTGTGCACCGAACTGCGTGGCTGAGGTGGTCACTTTTGAGAGAGGACACAAAATCATCATTAGCTCCAGCAGGAGAATCCAGAAAGGGGAGGAGGTAGGGCGGTCTCCTTTGCTTTTACTTACCTGCTGCTCCTTGCAAGATTTCGAGATACTGACGCGATTTCCACGGCCAGTAGCACAACTTGTGCGTGCCGGGGTGGGGGAGAGCGGCATCGCCCTTCCCCGCTTCCCTTCCCGGTTCCTAACAGCACAACTTCTCGTGCTACTTAACTGTGGGGGTGAGGAGAACTGCAGTAAATCCTGGTTGCTCCATAACCCTTCTCCTGCATCTCCTTCCAGCTTTGCTATGACTATAAGTTTGATTTTGAAGATGACCAGCACAAGATTCCATGTCACTGTGGAGCTGTAAACTGCCGAAAGTGGATGAACTAGAATGCATTCCTTGCTGTCTTTGAGGGTTGCTTGTCCCTAAGAAGAAGTGATTCACATTTTGATTTTGTCGACGGAAAATTGTTGCCTTTTTAAAAGGGGAATTAAAAAAAAAAAAAATATATATTAAAAAAAATCACTTCTGGAAGTACAGATTTCTACTCGTGTATTTAAACAGAAAAAAACAAAAAAGGAAAAAAAAAAGAAAACCAACAACCAAAACAAGCACCAGAAGCAAGCCGGCAAAATCCGAAGCGAACTTTCCAGACCGATGGAGGTTAAACTGAATTAACAGAATGGTCCAGCACTTTTGTTTTTGAGCTCACTAAGGAGAAACTGTGTACCTTGGGCAAAGAACCGATGGCTGACCTGCGCAGGGCAGGTGGGCATAATGAATGTAAGACTGAAATCACCAGCGAAAGGGAGAAGTCCAAAGTGCTGGCCACAGCCTTATTTGATAAAGGGGCAGGCCCTCTAATTAAAGAAAAATTTTAAATAAAAGTAGACACCACTGAACAAGGAATGTACTGAAACGACTTCCTTAGGGATAGAGCTAAGGGAAAAAATAACTTGCACTAAAATACATTTAAATACTTGATTCCATGAGTCAGTTTATTGTAGTTTTTGATTTCTGTAAAATAAGAGAACCTTTTTGTATTTATTATTGAATAAGTGAATGAAGCTATTTTTAAAAAGAAAGTTAGAAGAAAGCCAAGCTGCTGCTGTTACCTGCAGAACTAACAAACTCTGTTACTTTGTACAAAAGTGTAAATATTTTGAGAAAAAATAAAAATAAAAATAAAAATACAGTATAAAAATAGTTATTGACCAAATGCTACCAGACTCTGCAGCAGTTCGGGTGCTTATTATAAACTGTCAATAGGGATGTTACAATATGATCTCATGTATTAACAGACATGCGATTGCAATGACGGAATAACCAAAATCTCAATTTAAAGAGAAAGGGGGTTTCTTTTTTTATGTTTAAAGCAGTCTCAACTGTGGTCTTATTAGCATTTTTTTTTTTTAAGTAAACCTGAAGCCTGGTCAAGGCGTGTATATTACAGCTCTGACTTTTGTAGATGTTTGGGTAATTTAGATTAATTTTATTTGTATTATATTGTTGCATCCCTATTTCTTAAGTCAGGTTTTTTTTTGTGCTTACAATTTGTGATAACTGTGAATAACTGCTAAAAACCACCCAAAATAGAGGCTGGACATTGGGGTTGTTTGTTTTTTTGTTTTCTTCAGCAGAAGTAGTCAAGATGAGGTGACCGTTCAGCCGACATTAAATCATGTAAACAGCATAGAATCATGTAGTTGGAGCTTAAGTCTGATGCGCTAGCCTTCTTAAAAGGAAAACAAGGAAAAAAATTAGATGTAATGTGCTTGCAGCTGCAGGACTCTGGCAATAGGGTTTTGGAAAATGTAATTTAAAGATGTGTTTGTATGGATTGTTTTTGTTTACATTTCTTTAAAAAAAATAAACACTGTTTTGTGTTTGCTTGTAGAAATTTAATCAGCATTTTGAACCAGGTTAGCTTTTTATTTTGTACTTAAAATTCTGGTACTGACACTTCACAGGCTAAATATAAAAAGAAAAAAAAAATGAAGTTTTTTTTTTTTTGTGTGCACAATTAAAGTGGACTGTAAACTGTTGGTATATTCAGTAATACAGTTCTGAACTTGTAATGTATATGGCATGATGTATTTTTATCTTACAGAATAAATCAATTGTATATATTTTTCTCTTGATAAATAGCTGTATGAAATTGTTTCTTGAATATTTTTCTTCTCTTGTACAATATTCCAACATCCTACCAGTATTTGTCCTACAGTTTTTTTCTGTTCTGTATAATAGTATCTAATGTTGGCAAAAAAAAAAAACCACACAAAAAACAACACAAAAAAAGAAGAATTTTTTGAAGTATACAGAGTGTTATGGGTTTTGGAATTTGTGGAAACAGATTTAGAAGATCAGCATTTACAAATAAAAATATTTTACATCTATAAATTACATCCTCCTGTGTTCATTTGGGGCGTCTGGTTTCTGGTTCTTTCTGGATTTCACTGTCAGCTTCCGACAACGAGAAGCATTTGCGCTCCCCCCCCCTTCTCCAATGCAACCTGCCCCCTCCATTTTACACCTGGGTGCCACGTCCTGAGCACCTACCAGACAGAATTCCCTGCAATCCTGCTTCCCCCAGAAAACCTGCAAAAGGTAATTAAAAAATAGACAATACTGTATTCTGCTTGTGCTGGTTTGGGCTGGGATGGAGTTAATTGTCTTCACAGCAGCTGGCACGGGGCTGTGCTTTGGGTTTGTGCTGCAAACAGCGCTGACAACCCAGAGATGTTTTCACTATTGCTGAGCAGCTCACACAGAGTCAAGGCCTTTTCTGCCTCTGACCCCACCCCACCAGTGAGGAGGCTGGGGGTGCACAAGAAGCTGGGAGGGGACACAGCTGGGACAGACCCCACCTGACCAAAGGGACATGTCACACTGTATGACTGTCATGCTCAGCATGTAATCGGGGTGAGGGTGTTTGTCTCCCCAGGTCCCCGTTACGTGTGATGGAGCCCTGCTGTCCTGGGGATGGCTGAACACCTGCCTGCCCATGGGAATTAGTGAATGAATTCCTTGCTTTGCTTCACCTATTAAAGTCTCTGTATCTCAACCCACGAATTCTCTCACTTTTAACCCTTCCAAGTCTCCCCTCATCCTGCTGGGCTGTTTGGGCAGCGTGTGCAGAGCTGGCACAGAGCAGCCAACCTTGGAAATGTGAGAGAAATACACAAACACCTAGATTGGAAAAGACCTTTAAGATCATTGAGTCCAATCATTAACCTCACACTGACAAGTCCCCGACTAACCCGTGTCCCTCAGCACTGTGTCTACACGACTCTTCAATCCCTCCAGGGATGGGGACTCCACCACTGCCCTGGGCAACCCCTTCCAATGCCTCAGAACCCTTTCAGCAAAGAAATTCTTCCTCACATCCAATCTAAACTAAAATCTAAACTAAATATGAGCCATAAAAAAAAAAACAGTCAGCCACAGTCACTACCAACTCCATGGGTCATCAAGAAGGAAATGTCTGACACAGAGGCTTAAAAATCAGTCCCAGGTGCAGCTGACAAATAAATTCTCAGTATGACAGCGGCACAGTGAGCGCTGCGACAGCCTATAGCCCAGGAGAAGGCTTTTCCTTCTGTGCTTCCCAAGGGTCAGCTCTGAGCGGTCACTCAGATACAGGAAGAAAATGATGGATTTCCACCTCATCCCAGACAGCTCACACAGGGCCTGGCTGAGAACAACCAACCGATTCAGGACTGGGTGTTCTCAGAGAAGATTTATAACCCTCGCTTGTTCACATTTTAGAATCACAGAATGGTTTGGGTTGGAAGGGACCTTAAAGATCATCCAGTTCCAACCCCCCTGCCATCAGCAGGGACACCTTCCACTAGACCAGGTTGCTCAAAGCCTCATCCAGCCTGGCCTTAAACACCTCCAGGGAGGGGGCATCCACAACTTCCTTGGGCAACCTGTTCCAGTGTCTCACCACCCTCACAGTGAAGAACTTCTTCCTAATATCTAATCTAAACCTCCCCTCTTTCAGTTTAAACCCATTTCCCCTTGTTTTGTCACTAACTGCCCTTATGAAAAGTCCTTCCCCTTTGCGTGCACTGACCTGGCTGCAGCACTGAACCCACACAGCTGTGGCCAAAAATCCTTCACTGCAGAAACGACTGACACCACCCAAAATGCCATCGCCTCCACCTGCTCCTGGAAACCAGCGCTGCCCAGCCCCACGACCCCGGGCTGAAGCTGCAGGCCCACGCACGCAGCACTGCAAACGTGGGCAGCAATAATTTAAAGAAAAAAATAAAAATAAAAAGCTGAATTATTTATACAAGAGTGAGGCAGAATATTTATCTTTTTTGTATTGAGGAACATTCCAGCTACAACTCAGTGGCCCATCAGTTCTACATCCTTCTCCATTATTGCAGGCTTAACAACAGTGTGTATTGAGCTGGTTTTGACAGCAGCCTCCAAATATCCTCACCGGGAGCAAAAGGTCAAAAATTCTCTGTGGCAGCAGACTCAGACCATAAACAAAGCAAGCTTCTGCTCTGCCTCTTTGAGGATTTGGGGTTTTTTTATTTTTTTTATCATTTTTTTTAAAAAAGACAACATAAAAGCCACAGAAAAAAAGGCAGAGCAAGGCCACCACACAGCCAATGTCACAGCCAAAACAAATGTCACAGCCCAGGGGAGAGCCCGGCGCGCGGCCGGGAGCAGCTGTACCAGCACCCGCTGCTGCTTCACACTCGCTCGTGGGAGCAGTCGGGTTAATCACACGGGCATAAACGAAGCTGCAGCCCGTCCTTTCACCCCCAACAAGGACTGGAATTAATTCCACACACAACAGGCACCCAGGTGTCCCCGTGAGGAAGCACAACCCCGCTCTCCAGCTGGCTGCACATAGTGCTGGCTGGTTTTATGCCACCCTCGCTGCTGCTGGAACAGTTCAACTGTGAGCTGACACGGTGTGAACGTGTTCCAGCCCCACACTGCCCTGTGACAGCAATTTGGGGACAGATTTCAAGATTCTGGGTGCCTCTACAAGGGCTGCCTGACCCAGCGAGGCGCACAGTACAGGCCGCTGCTGCTGGAGGCAAACTGGGTTGTTTTTATAGACTTTTGGTGGCAGGAAAGAACTTGGCTGGTGTCTAACTTAACTATTCCCACGGTAATGCTCTATCTGGAAGAACTTCCACTTCAGCCTATTGTTCTGGTTTACAATTAAACCCCAATTACCTGGTTCCTCCCTGCCCGTGACTGCTTCCACAACTGCAGCGCAGCGGCGTGGGACCCTCTTACCTCCTCGTTTTCTTCCTCTTGCACTTCTCCCCCAGGCTGGCTGCCCTGGCAGACGGCCGAAGGCCCAAACGCGATCTGTCACAAGGGAATCTCTCCTCTCTGCAGAAGACGTGGGTCTATCATCACTCCAGCATTATCATTATTTGCCTCACGCTGCCCAAAATGTCAATAAGTGGATGCTGGAGTATTTGTGCAGTTGGAAAATGTTTCTGCTGCCCAGCCAAGCGAAAGGGCAGGGCTGTTGGACAACGCGCTTCCCAGGGAAGGCTGGTCGCCGCGGCGTGATAAACACGGATAAGAAAATATAGGCTGGGTAAGAACAGCTTTTCTCTCCTGCAGCAGCTTCCACGCATTGAAGAAGCATCCAGGGCTGAGGCAGGAAGTCAAAAAAAGGTAAAGAGTGGAATAAATGAACCTGGGAAGGGAAACAGAGACGTGGAGGGGAAAAAAAAAACCAACAAAGAGAAATTATCTGTCAAACCTTCCAAGGCGTGAGAGAGGGAGAAAGAGCCGGCTGTGAAGAAAAGCAAGTGAAAACAAGGGAAGACCCAAACTGTGTGAACATTTGTTTGCATCAGTCTCCAAGCTGGTGCTCTCTGGTCCAACAGCTACAAAGAGTAAGGCCATACAGATTAATAAAAAAATGATACTTTATTTTAAATGCAGCTACTGTCATGAGTCATCAAAATAGACTTTGTAATAGTTACTTTGTTTTAAATATGAGGTGACGAATGACAGCTAAGAACTTAAACTACATTAAATGTCCTAAAATTGAAAATCAAAAGAACTAAATTTAAATATTACAAATGACAATTTCCAGAAGATAAAAGGGAATAAAAATATTTTCCAGGAAAAAAGTAAAATAATTTGGCCAGGAAAACCATACTAAAAACGTAAATTAATGAGATACTGCACATGAAGTACTTGGAGACGACTCCTTCCTGTCATTGTCATTTAAAAGACCCACAAAGCTAAAATCTCA